CAACAGGAGCGTGGGAAGTTCAAGAAGATGAGGCTGGCACCTCCCTAAGGAATTCACGGTACTGTGGCTGGCTGGCTGGCTTGGGAACTTGGGTTCAGTCTGGTGAGATTCTGTCTTGAGGTGGAAGCTAATAAATGCAACGGAACTATATTTGCATTGTCTCTTGGAGTTTTTTGGGCTGAACCTGACAGTAGTGCTCCTTCCTCCTTTTTTCCCCACAATGGTAACCCGGTAACATAGGCTAAGAGGGAAGGACTGGTCCAAAGTCACCAAGGGAGATTCTATGGCTGAGGGTGTACAAGAACCTCCCAGGTGCTAGTCAACACCCTAATGCCTAACCCACATTAGCTCTCATATGGTTTGGGAGGGGAGCATGCAGCACCAGAAGCTTCAGAGATGGCTCCTTTTTTCCCCAGGGGCATCTGTGGGGGGCAGTGGGGGGGCAGACTGTATACTTGTTAAAGGCTTTGGAAATTAGGCCAAGAATCACAAGCTGCACTTCTCTTGTATAGGATTGCTAAAACCTGCTGTTATGAAATTCAGAAAAAAAGGAGAATCGAACACTATCCATGGCTTTATGTCACTGCAAACATAAACAAATGTTTTTTCCTAAGACACAACTATCAAGTATACATACGTATTTGATATATTCCTGCATGACATCCTTCAGGGGCAAAGAACCTTCCTTCCTGAAGACAGAGGGGTTCCACATGGCAGCCCGGGCAACCATTACTGAAGATGCTGTGGTCGCCTCCTGGAAGGTCCTAAGATCAGAATATTCTTTGATGAAATCATGGGATCCTCCACTGAAATAAGAAGGACATTGTTCCATCAGTATGGACAAAATGCATTACTAGCAGTGGTGCATGAACGTGATGCAGATGGCCGACTAGATGCTGTATGTTCTGCAGAACAATAAAACTCTGCAGGAAGCAGCTGACGAGTGTTCCTCACTTTTAAAGGATGGGACACCTTCAATAGTGGACATCAAACATTTCAAAGGGTCAAGCACTACACAGACAGTCTGTCCATCATGCATCAAAGTCAAAGTAATCTTTATTGTCATTGTACTACTTGTACAACAAAATTAAATGCCACCCAGTGCTAGCTTTTAAAAAA